GTTTTTGATCATCCTTGGCAAAAAGAGAAGCTTATGGCTTCTATTTTTATTTTCAACCTGTTCTTTTTTTTTACGCCTGTTCTATGTTTCTAATGATCCCTAGTGATTCTTATTTTTTTTCCTTAGCTGAATGCTTGGTGCGCATCTTGTAACTGAATGCTTGGTATTGCTTCATTTTCATGTATGCTCAATAATGCTTGGTGATTCTTCCTATTTTTGTATGAGTTATTCTAGAGAAAAAAAATTTGGCAAATTGATACACATATGTGAATATATTTATTGATTTTGTATGTTTGTGATGCCTCACTAGTTTATAGAACAATGAACAGTGATAAAGAAAAAGTTTTGTGGAATTCAACTTTGACAGAAATTTTCATTAAGAAATATTTAGATCAAGTATACAAGAAATAAAGAAAAGGAACTACTTTCAACAAAGATGGTTGCAAGCAATAATCAAGGGATTTGAGGCAAAAAAGGGAAAAAGGTATGAACGAAAGCAACTAAAAAATAAGCTGGACAACATAAAGAAAGAATGAAGCGTATGATATAAGTTGTTTTCTAGTGAAACCAACTTAAGATGGGATAGTGTCAAGAATACTGTCGATGCTCCAAATGAGTGGTGATAGCGAAAAATTTCAGTATGGATTAGTTATTAAGTATTTTTTAGATTAGAATTTAATTTGAGAATATTAATTATTGGTTATTTAAATTCTTGTAGGAAAATCCCCTTTATGAAAAATTTAGACATAAAGGGCTAATGTTTACAAGGGAATTAGCCTTGATATTTAGGGGTGTCTTGACAATTGGGGAGACACTGTTTATACCATTTGCTATGTAGACCCAAATAGAGGATGACGATGACGATAAGGATGTATACCACCCCAGCATTGACCTTCAAGAAAGATTCGATGATAGTGAAGAGGAGTTAAATTTATCTGACACTGTAGTACTTATAGGGATTACTGATGAGCTATTGGGCTTGAATGTCATCACAAATATTAGTGGAATTAGTGGTGATGGAAATCAAGGCAAGAGAAAGAGGGTTGGAGGAGTTGATAGAAGAAAAAAGCAAAAAGTCCTTACCTCAATGAAAATAGCAGATACAATGAGTAAAATAGCTAAGGAAAATAAAGCTATAATAGAGACAGTGAATAAGATTTTGACAAATGATGTAGGAGTTTTTAAGGTTGTGGCTCACCTAAATAGACTTCTATAAGTTTTTGGTGATAAATATTTGCATTGAAAATATGTCAATCTTGTTCCGTAAAAGCCTATGCGAGATGCTTATTAGCAACTTAAAAATCATTTTGATCACTTAGTCAATTAGTTGAAGCACCAAGTCTACCATCCATTAGATTTTATTTTAAAGAATACATCTGGATGAATTTTTATATAGGTTTATGATGACTTAACATGTGTTTGACTTGTAGTTGCTTTATTTTGACTTGTAGTTTACTATGCTTATGATGACTTGGTTTGTAGTAAATATTTAACTCTTATCTAATGCTTATCTTAGGCTTTATTTTTTATGTTGTTGAACGATAGTTATATACTATTTATTTTATGTTATATACAAATAATATTTACAAACTATTTTACTTGAGGTTGAAAAATCATGAAAGATTCAAATGAATATATGTTAGGTTGGAATGAAGGTTGGGATATAGATGTAGCTCATCAACTACTTCCCTTGTTACAGTAAAATATAACTAAGCAAGAAGAAATATGTCAATTAGTTAGTGAATATAGGATTCCATGTGTGGAAAGAGTTATAGAGAACTAACAGGCAAACAGGGCAAATGTGGGTCAATGAGATTTTATAAGGTCATACTGATTGTTGTTATAAAATATTTTGAATGAAAAAACATTTGTTTAGGTAACTGTGCACAACACTAGTTGATATTGGTCTCAAGAAATCTAAAAAATGGGAGTTGAAGAAATGGTTAAAATGTTTTTAAATACAATTTTAGATATGGAGTTGGTAATAGAATGATATAGGAACAATTTTAACATTCAGGAGAAATTATCCATAGAAATTTTCATAAAGTATTAGTTGCCTGCCTTAACCTTTTCAAGGCAAACATAAAGCTACCTGATCTTTTATTTCAATGATGTCATTCAAAAATTTAAAATGACCCATGATACTGGCTATTCTTTAATGATGTTATAGGAGCAATTGATGGCACTCATGTGCCATGCATGGTTAGTGTTGCTGATCAGGTCAAATTTATTGGAAGAAAGGGATATGCAATGCAGAATGTCATGACTATATGCGATTGGGACATGTGTTTTACTCTTGTCATTATGAGATGGGAAGGTATGGCTCATGATGCCCGAGTGTTTGATAATGCCACATCAACTCCTTTAATGCATTTTCTACATCCAATTTTAGGTATATTTTATTAAAGTCACTATAATTATTATTGCATTGATTTAATGTTGGTCAAATGTATAATACTTCCTTTTATTTAATAGGTAAATATTATTAGGTTGATTCTAGTTATCTAACATTAAATGGGTATCTTGGTCCATATCATTGCGAATGTTATCACCTTCTAGACCATAGGCGAGTTGTAGGATTTATAAATAATAATGAGATCTTCAATTATTATCATTCAAGTTTGAGATGTATTATAAAAATAACTTTTGAAATGTGGAAGAATAAGTGTGCAATTATATGAAAAATGTCCAAATTTAGATATAAAACATAAGTTCAAATTGCTTGTGCAATAATAGCAATACATAACTTGATCAAGAGAAATTTAATAACTGATGAGCAATTCATACAAGCTTAAGATGAAAGTGTAGATATTCATAAGGAAGATATTGATATTAGTGAGACATCCTTGTCAAATCTACCCAAATCATCAAGACAAATGTAGCGTGTTTGTGATATAATTAGAGATTAACTTGTAAATCATATCAATTAAATATTAATTTATTTTAGGTTTTTATGATTGAATATTTAAGATATTTTACTTATTAGTTGTGATTTTAAGTCTAATATTTTTTACTTATTAGTTAGTAAAAAATACAAACATTCTTATTTAAGATTTAATATTTAGGGTAAAAAAATTCATGTTTATTTTTGCTATTAAACATCTCAACTGACTTTGAATCAAATCATCCAAACAAATTTCAGTTTATCTAACTGACTTTAAAAAAAAAGGTATCCAAATATAAATCACGTTACATTAACTAAATTTTTTTCTAATCTCAATTTGCTAACCTCAGTTGAATTCTAATTTTAGTTGTAAATTTTTTAATCTAAACACACTCATAGTCTTCTCCTTCCCTATATAAATCATTTTTATCAACCTTGCCAATGCTAATATAAAAAAAATGAGGAAATAAATTTTTAAAATTTTAAATATGGTTCTATATAATAAATATAAAAAAATAATATTATGTTACTTTTTCTCTCTCATGAAGGGCAATTTTAAAAATATTTTTAAATATTATATAAAAAATTAAAATCGTGACTTATAAATGAAACCAAGTGAATTTTCTAGAACGTATCTTATAAATAAGACTAAAGGAGTATTATTTAAATAAATTATATTAAACATAAATTATAAAAAATGAAGTCTATTTTTTAACCATATACAATATACGAAACTCATACTAACTTTACATGAAAGCCAACATGTGATAAATACTGTAATGGCTCATTTGATTAATTAGAAGTGAGGCCATGAAAGTAGAAGCAGAAGTGAAGATCTAAAATTAATATATTTGATAGGTGGGATTCTAATTCTTCAAGGAAGCCATTTCTATCAAAATTGATAGAACACCATCAAGACTCCCATGGAACAAAATTCCATCATATTCATTTCCATCTCTACCCTTTAAGCTCTCACATTCTCTCCTCTTCCTCAATGATATTGATGACCCACTTCCTTCTTTGGTAGCTCCAATCCGCAATGGCAACAAAGCTCAACTAAGTTCAAAATGATCAGGAACCCATCACCACCATCAACCCTTTGTTCTTCAACATGGTGCAGTAGATTTCGTTGTTTCGATGATATCGTAGATATAAAAGAGAGGGAGCAACCTCAGGGTGGTTACTTGACCCACCATTTTCGATTCAAGTTCAAAGAGGGGGAAGCAGAGGACAACAGCAGATGATAATAACTCTGATAAGGACAATAGCAAATTGTGAAGACTCCTGACTGATAGACGACAATGTCTAGTTCGATTTCCTCTTTGATCTATGTATTTAGTTACTCTATTTCATCTTAAAGTTGATTTCTAGTCAGTCTCCCTTGGCAACGAGCTATGCCGTGAAGAACATGAACGGAAAAAAAGTCGAAGATCCAATACAGTTTGATTTACAAAATAAGGTGATCCATTGCATCCTTCCATTTGTTCTTGGTCCATCTCATTACAGTTCGGCTTCTTTGATTCAAGCTTTTTTTTTTTTTTTGGTTTCTTCCAAGTGAATTCAATGACCTTTTAGTTTCAATTTTCTTTAATTCTGAGATTAGATGGAATTGGGTGGCTGCAGCGGATGGGAAGAGATTTTTCAATCAAGGGCATTCAAGTCCTTTTACATTATAAATGGATATATTAAATAAAATTTATATCTCACTTTCATCAACTTATGAAACATACTTTTAAATCCAATTTTAATTTAAACTCTACTTCTAATTTCATTTTTAACTCTATTTCTAATTCCATTTTCTCTTCTTTTAAAAACTTTTCTGCCATGCTAAACCAGACATAATTTACATTAACCAACTGATTAACCTGTTGGAAAAAATTAATCTTCATCAATAGAATATAAAATGGATATGTATATAATGTAACAGCCAAGGCTAGTGGTGGCTTGCTCCATGTCCAATTATTTCAAGTATTTCAGGCAACGATGTACATTAAAATTTGCTATTGTTGGGAAAGTTGACCCCGAAGCTTATGAAGCGAAGAGAGGATGTGGTGGGGCCGGAGGGCGTATTTGTATTTATGAATATTAAAATGAAATAATGAATGGATCACTGTAAGTCTCTGACTCTAAAGAGAGGCACTCGGGAATGGGACATCAATGGATGTCTTTCTGTACTTTGTTATTGGTTGAACTTGCATACAGCGCCAGCGCCAATATATAGCCTTCGTCTCTTCTCGATCTCTCCTTCTTCACTTTCTTCATTCTCTCTAGCTCCGTGTCTCTGTGCTCTTCATTCACGTGCTTTTACCTGCTTCCAAAGCAATTCTAAAGCTGCAGTTAATCATCTCTATACAATATAGTCGGCCTGTCCTCCTCACTGCATCTTTGTATCCATTCTGCCACAAATCAGCTTTCTGCTTTCTCGCCTGAGCTATCTAGGGTTTTGTTCCCTTTGGATGCTTCTTTTACAAGATCTTATCCCGCCCTGCTTAGAAAGTAAGCTGAAAATTCCTCCCAGAAAGTTAAAAGGAGGAAGAAGACAACAAAAATTCTCAGAATTTTACTGGATAAAGCGGCGGGTCTTTTAGATAATGATTCTCGGGTTTGTGATATCCGGGTGACTCTTACCTTTGCGAAAAGCTATCATAACCAGGAACAGGGCGAACAACGGAAGCATTTATGGATTTGAATTCGCATCAGACTTATCAGCACCAACAGCATCAATCCAATTCCGGATTGGCTCGGTTCCGCTCTGCCCCCAGCTCGCTTCTTGCTAATTTCAGACAAGCTCTCGAATCTGCTGAGTCCGAGAGACGAATTTCGAGATTCGCAAACAACAGTAATAAGAACGATACGGCGTCGCCAAGCTTTCAAGAATTTGAATCCGAACACAAACCCTCTAAATCTCCATCAGAGGCTGCTCTGAACCGTATGAATTCCCAGCAAGGCTATAGTGGCGGCGGGCTACCACCTCACTATCCAAGGCATAGTTCTTCCATGGATAGCTCCTTCGGACTGATGGGTTCAATGGGAATGGATCACGAAACTCGGCCAAAAGGCTTCGCTTTGCCTCTTCTTAGGCAAAGCAGCTCCCCTGCCGGTCTTTTCTCGAACATCTCCTTTCCAAATGGTACAGTGTTTCTTCTGCTTCCCTTGCAGGCTGCTTTTTAGCAAATTTTTATCTTTTTGTGCGTTCTTGCAATTATTTTATTAATTAAGAAACAGAAATTGCAGAGGCAACATATCATATTGCATTGAACTTTGATTTCACAATTTGATAGTGTGATCGATCGAGCTTTGGAAGCACATGGAATTTAGCTTCAGGAATTGAACAAATTTTGTTACTGGTGTAGACCAGTTATTCTGTTTTATGATTATTTGGCATCTGGTGATCGAATAGCATATGCCTCTGCGGTTGCTATTTTTATAATCCAGCTCAACTCTCTCTCATTTCTTAACGCATATCACTTTCCATGGCTGTCATGTACTCATAAACGTAAGGTTGGGAATTTTAAAAATAAATTTGGCACACAATGGTCGCAATTTCATTGAGATCCATGAAGCGAGGATAGATACCTGACCCTGTTTCTTTCCTGATACTATTGAAGGAAAATATCTTTGATTTTCGTGGCCTTTTAAGATAGCAAGAGGTTATTCGTAAATTGCAGGGTATGGCCCCATGAAAGGGGTGAGAAACTATGGTGGGGTGAACGGCAGTAGTGATGGTGGACTTACTCCATCTATCAATGGATTGAAGAATGAGATTAGCTTCTCATCAAGAAGTACCTCCCTGGGAGCCCTGTCCCAGATCTCTGAAATAGAATGTGAGGGTATTGGAGCAACTAGCCCAGATAATGGGAGGGTGGGAACTAACAGTGGTGATACTCGGTATTATGGCCCTGGCTTCCCTTATACTTCCTGGAATGATACATCACATGTCTCAGAAAATCTCACTGGTTTTAAACGACATCAAACTAGTAATGAAAAGTTGTATTCTGATGGTCAGGTATGTATATCGGCTGCTCAATTCTTCACGGCCCCTGGTTTTATATATATATATATATATATATTTTCTCCCAGTTTTGTTTATTCGGTTTCCCTCTTCTTGATACAAACAAGTTGATGTGTTCAGAATGCTGAGCCTGGAAGTCGGGTTAATGTATTATCGCATAACTTGAGTTTGCCAAAAACCCCATCACGTATGGCTTCCGTGGAGAAGTTTCTTCAATTCCCAGATTCTGTTCCTTGTAAAATAAGGGCAAAGCGGGGCTGTGCCACTCATCCACGAAGCATTGCAGAAAGGGTAGGATTTTTTTTTCCCCCGACTAAAGCCAGTTAAATATGGCAGTACTTGTTTGTATCAAGCAGAATGAAGTTGTTATTAGTCCTTTGCTAAAAATATGAGAAATACATAAAGTTTAGATTAGTTGATTCTGAGAACAAGTTCTGACTTCTGATACAGGTTAGAAGAACTCGTATCAGTGAACGAATGAAAAAGTTACAAGATCTCGTCCCGAACATGGACAAGGTAAGATTCATGTTCCGCCGTTTATTATCTGTATGTGGAATGGAAAGTTTGTCATTGCATGAATTTTGTTCTTGGCAGCAAACAAACACGGCAGACATGTTGGACTTGGCTGTTATGTATATTAAAGATCTTCAGAAACAGTTCATGGTAACTAAAGAGAAATTAAGTTTGCCCAGAATTATGACGGTCTAATTGATGAGTTTGTTTCCGCCTGAACTGACATGATAAATAAAATTCTGCAGACTCTGAGCGAGAAACGGGCAAACTGCAAATGTACAAGCACGCAGAAAGCAGATGCAAACTGAGTGGTTTCACTGACAAAAACAGAGCATGCGAAGAAGGATTTTGTGTGCTGAAAAGTAAGTAGAAAGCAACCACAGATATATGTTTTTATGTTCCTTGGATGATACAGAAAGGTTGTAACACTTAACCACCGCATTTAGGTTCCCTGAATTTTGTACAGCATAATTCTGATGATGTATGCCTGTCAAGTCATGTGATAGTATCTCTTTCTCTCGGTGCGTCTCTTTAGGTGAAATCTAGATGGGTTAAATATTGATATTGTTGTTTGCTCAAAAAAAAAAAATATTGATATTGTTGAGTACTAGTATTTTTCTTTTGGAATTGGGTAATAGTTGTTTCACGGGTACATTTGACTTGACTTTGTTAGTCATTTAATTTTCGAGGCGGTTGGACCAAGTAAGAGCTCTGTGGATGGGGAAGCATATTCTTTTTGTCCAGGATGAATGAATGCATAGATGGGCCCGCCGAATAAAAAAAGAAATGAAGAAATAAAGAAATGGACAGAGAGCATTGGTATGAAGATTTAAATAGTGAAGGTATTGATGGAACGGGGGTTGCTAATTGGGGCAAGGACACAGTTGCATGGTTGATGGACGATGGAGACTTGAGAGCATAAAACAAGGGGAAATATCGGCGCCCACCTTATCGAGCTGAAGAATCTGGACCCTCTTGTAGCTTTTATAGGGCTCAACACAACCTCTTCAATACGTTCGCATTAGATTAACAAATTTTAAAGTCCAGCTTTCTACATGCTTATCCATTTTCATAAAATTTATGAAGAGATGGACGATGATAAAAATGTGCGAATAACCTGTATTTCCGAGAAGTCAAAGTTAAAAGCTCATGTAAAATTCACTTTTTTAGTTATGTAGCTTAATCAAGGTCAACCAGTCAATATTAAATAGACGTATAAAACTCAATAAATATTTCTAAATGATAAGTAGTATGGCTTTTCTCCTGTATTTGAGGGGATGTTTGTTCTGATGTTTATTTTCCTTTGAAATATTTCCCCATTCTCAGAATTAAAATAATTATGACTATAATTAATTTGACGTGCGTGCTGCACTTAGAACAAAGGGAGAATCTCACTGCAGGTCCTAAATCAGCAAAAAATTTTACTGTGGATCTAATACATTGTGATATTGCACTATAAGCTCAAGGACTCTTGTTACAAATTTTATTAAAAGCGAAAGTAAAATTTTGTTCTTATATTATTTGAAAACTCAAATAATGTATAACATGATATTTATGAATGCACAATACAATATTTATAGATGTACAACATAATATTAATTTATTTGCATTTATAATGTAATATTTATAAATACATAACACGATATTCATTGATACACAACACAATATATACATATGAACATTGTTATGAGAATTTATGAATATTGTTTGTATATCCATGGACGTTGTATTATATATCATGTGCATTATTTGTACATTTTATTAAATTTATTGATTAATTAAACATGCATGGATATTGTGTTCTACATCGATGAACATTGACTTGTGCATGATCTGAATTTTTAAATCATACAAGGACAAAATCATGCTCTCAAGAACAATTGCAAGAAAAGCCTTTTGTCTTGCAATGTAATAACAAAATTTATTAGGCTTCCAATGCAATTTTTGCCTCTTTGGAGGCCTGTAGTGCAATTTCCCTAAAACAAATAGAATCTACGAGGTACAATTTCTGAATAAAAGGTAAGTTTTGACTTTGAATTAGTGAAAGAAAAAGTCTCGTGAAAAGAAGCCGGAACTTACAAAACGAAAAAGATGAAATAGCATAATTATCAAGAGGAAGCAGTGTGGACAAGTGTAATGTATGAGGGGAAACAAGGCCTGAAAAAGGAGGTCTCGCTGTTCAACTTCAAATCAATTGAAGTTCTTACAAAGTCGAACTACAAGTACATGGTTGGTTGTCTGCCAAGGGACGTCGTCAAAATGCAAATATTTAATGTGTAGAATTAAATAAATATGAGAGAATATATTATACTACATGAGTAAAAATTGGGTTTTAAAAATATTTTGGATTAAAATTTATTTTTTTTCTAAATTATATTTTCAAGACTACTCAGTATCTTGTACTTCTTTTTGGGTTCAGTCATTTACTTAAACTTTTAACATTGAATCACCCAGCATCAAGCCACGGACGTTAAGTGATTTGCAGGTGTCATGTGAGGTGTCTTTTCTTGCCTCCATCTTTGCTTATGCGGTCCTTTCATTTCTCTCTTCCATCTTCCTCTCCCATGTTCTCTCATCCGCAGCCGAGCTTGAAGCCCCTTCCCCTCCAACCCATCTGCCTCCTCCAGCAGCGCAGATCGTCCGCCTACCCAGGACCCATCTCTTCAAGCGTGCAGCGTCGTAAACCGTCAAGAGCCCCCCACCATAAACCCATCTCCTCCGGCTTGTAGCGTCGCAGACTGTCGAGAGCCCCCACCCCAAACCTATCACCTGCAGCTCGAATGCGTCATTCTAGATCTGTAAAACTAGTTCTAGGTCAGCCGAGCACGAAGTACCGTTCACCAAGTATAGGAGTCGCCGTCGCTGAGGAGTCGAGTACCTGTTCGTCGCCACGTCCTGCGGAGTCACTATCGCCGTTCGAAGAGTCCAAGAATTAAAAAAAAAACATAGGGTTCGGATTTTCTAGATTTTTTGCTTCCATCTTCCTCCTTCCTCTTGTCTGTGATTTGTGTTTTCTGATGGTGGTGACTGGTTGTTGCTCCTGCCTTTTATTTTTCCTTGCTTTTGACTGTGACTGGGTTTATTTTGATTGCCTTTTATTTTGGTTCAATGATCGAGTTTTGGGTTCGATTTCTGATTGCTTATAACTGTGAGTTTTCGGTTCGATTTCTGCTTGCTTTTTCTGGGTTGAATTTTTGGATATTTTGGCCAGAAGGAGAGGGAGTAATTTTTTTCCTTAAAAAAGATCTGACTCATTTGCCAAGTGGGGGATGTGAGTGATATACACATGGGCAAAAATAGTCCACACACATACACTTGACGGTCAACGTTCAACAATTTAATAGAAGGATGCTGGCTGATCTGTTTTTGAAAGGTTAAGGGGTTGATTGGACCAAAAAAGTAAAGAGGACACTGGATGATTACAAGGGCGCGGTTTAGGGACAAAAATAAACTTTAATCTGAATATTTTTAACTATTGAAGTAATTAAGGAAGACTGTAGTAACTGCTACTAGGTAGCTCGTGTTTGATTTTTGCATTTTTCATCAAACACACACACATGCACTGTCAATAAGTTACTGAAATATTTTGAAAAATAAATCAATTTTTCAAGTTATTTTTTATCAAATGCACTATCTTTAAAAACATTTAATATATATATATATATATATATTTGTGTGTGTGAAGGAACATTATAAATAAATAATATTCAAAAAAATAGAGTCAGGTTAGAGTCATGTCGGATTTGGACATGATAGAATTTATCCGATAAAAAAAATAGAGGCAGAGGAAGAATGAATACTAATTGAGGATAAGTTCTTTCTTTGACTATCCGCATCTATTTATTGTGTGAGAAGGGGACATTGACTCCCCTTTTAGTAGTGGGAATAAATTGATTGAAATAATAACATTAATTGCAAAAGAATCATTTCCTATTTTGGAATTAATCAACAATTAATCTATCATTAACTTATGATTTTCGTCAACTCTCATAATTCTGGAATACATCACCATTGATTGTCCTAACATAATGACCCAATTCCCCGTCAAGGATAGATCGGTAAATTCCAACAATATATATGTATATGTGTGTGTATATATATATATATATAATATCTTACCTTATAAGAAATTGTAAAATGATAAGATTAAAAAAAAGTGAATAATAGTCCATCTTTTTTCACAAAACAATTATTTTTTTAAAAAAATTACCCGTTTGATGACTTGTATATAGAAGGAGAGGGGGAAAGTAATAACTATATACTCTTTCTAGACTAAAATATATGACATTGATAATTAATTTAAAGTAAATTAGTCCAATGGCAATGAAAAATACAGTTCTTATAAATTATGGATGAAATTTTTAAATATTTTAAAATATAGCTTATTCACAAAATTTATTAGAGATTATTTTCTCTTTTTATCCATAGAAAAAACATATTATTAAAACTTTTTGCATAAATTAATTCACGAATATATCTCTTATAACTAATTAAATGATTTTAACTTTTAACTAACTGAATCAAATATTTGCACACATGTCCATCATATTTATTCTCCTTTCATAATAATTCTTTCCTTTTTGTGGTGGACTGAGTAAGGAATCAAGATGATATTCAGTTATTCACATATTGTTTTCTTGTTGTCCTAATAAGTGAATTCTTCTACAAAAGATGTCCAAGATGAGTAGTTCAATTTTGTGTCTTTGTAAATGAGTCTCATTGCTAAGCTTCCTTACACGAAGATGAATGCACCTCAAACTTTTATTGTAGATGGATATTTAATTCTTCGTGATAAGCTAAGATATTCAAAAAATTTATAACCTATATTTAATTTTTTTTGAGCAAATGATTGTGCTTTTTTTTCGTGTTTCTGATCCATGATATTATATCAGTAATATACTATATCAATGAAAACTTATCAACACCGTTTTATCTTATAAATATGGAAATGCTTAATCTTTTTATTTTGTATGATGAAACATGAGATTTATTACTTTCGTTATTTAATTCTCTATATTAAGCTAAGATGTCTATAATTTTTTATGGACTGTATTTGATCTGTTTTGGACAAATTGTTATATATTTTTTTTGTTTTTGATTTACAATAGTGTATCAATGATATACAATTGTATATGATTGATAAACCATATCAGTGAAAACTTATTAATACCATTTAATTTTATAGATACGAGGATGCTTAATCTCATCATTTATTTTTTTTCCCCTAAAAGAGGGTCAAATGATGCTATCTTCCATTTTTGAGTATTTGAAAGAAAGTTTTTGTCTAAACAAAAGTATTTGAAAGAAAGTTATATTATTTGCAAAGAGGATATTTTTGTCATTTAAAGCTAAAATAAATATTAAAAAATAATACAAAATATAATAAATGTTAGGCTGTTTATTGAATTTGGTTTTATAAAATGGACTATATATCCAAAAGCCCATAATTTACGAGTCTTAAAAAATATTAGTTGAGAAATTATTTTTTAAAAAAAAATTACATCTTTTTAATTTTACTGTCATTAAATATTTTATATAAATACTTTAATAATGATAATTAAAATTTTAATGTATTATTTTTGCAAAAAAATAATAAATGAAGTAGAGATATAATTAAAAAAATAAATATAAAAGTTATCTAACATTTTATATTTTAAATCAAGTAAAATTTTTAAAAAATATTTTATATTATAATTCAGAAAGTATATCATATGTCTGGACACCCTGCTCGTTAACGGGCAAAAAATCAGTAGGATGACTAGCCCTACCCCAGCACTCATTAACGTGGAGACGTCCCTGGACCTCAGCCCTAAACATGTTCTCTGTTCGAGTCATCATATCTAATATCTATCTGTTTTTTTAATTGCAGTCTCCATCTTCCTTTAATTTGCATTCCATTCCGCAATCGCGTTGCCGAGAACTAAACAGAACACATGCTTAAAAATAGATGCATGCATAATACTTGTAAAAATATTATTTAATAAAACCAAATTACTTACTAGACCGAGACAGATAACGATGATCAAATCTGATTCATGCAAAAATGGACAGATCTATATTAGAACTTGAAACTATACAATTCAACATACTTGACCGGCGGCAGTATATGATGACCATCAATTTTAAATATATACCTATTCTCCAAGAAGCTAGTTTCTGTGCCGAGTGCCTAGAAGGACAAACCAGGACAATGTTGATCTCAGCTTCCTGCTTTTTTGCTGAATTTAGTAAAACGGATCTTGATATAAGAATTTATTTAAAATTAAAATTACCATATACAATATTAAATGTATTTTTAAGACCAATCAAACGTGAACGTAAATAAATAGACAACAATGACCCTTTTAAGTTGGGCATCAGATAATGAGCTAGAAAACATAACGGTGAACGTCATAATTAAGCTGGCAAGAATAATATTAAAAAGGCATATGAAAGCGATGGACAGTAATGTGTACTCATCACCTTGTGAAGGTGCTTTGCAGAGCGAGAAGTGCCCTAGATTTCATGTTGGAATTTACGTTAAATTCAAGATCAGAACTAAACACTAAAGAGGGAACCAAAGGACCCAGGGGGCCGGGTGAAATTAAACCAAGAAGGTATTAATATTACGTTGTGTCAGGTTAAGCTATATATAAGTATAGATGATAGTTTTGGTAGTTTCTAACATAGAAGCAAACTTGTTTAATTTTTAGTTCCGTGCACTAACAGACAAATGTAATCGGAATCATATTACTTTATGCAGCAGAACAGAAATCCTCGGGATTAAAAGTTGCTACACAACATCCACCCATAACTCATAGACATAAAAACTTCTGCCGAATCCACACGACCAGCCATAAGCATCTACACCGTCCATGAAAAATAAGACGTGTGATCAATGTTGCACATAGTCAAGTCCCCACAACTTGTGCCAACTTCATCACCTTCAACATGTTATAAGGAGAGAATCCTAGATCAGTTACCTACGACGCAACTGATCTAGGATTCTCTCCTTATAGACCCTACTGGAAGTTCGTGAAGAAGCTCTGCATGTTGGAGGTTCTTAACGGTCGGATGCTGGATCAACTCTCTCCGATCCGGCAAGAGGGGATAAGCCAGTTCTTGCAGATGATGAAGAGGAAAGGTGAAGCAAGCGAGGGCGTGAACGTCGGAGCTGAGGCCTTACAGCTAACGAATAGTATTATAATGAGAATGTTTATAGGCAAGAGTTGCTTTCAAACAGAGGAAGAAGCGCTCGAGGTATAGAGTAGGTGAAATCCGGGTTCGAGCTGTCTTAAATGTTTAATTTGTCTGATTATTTTTGGTTCTGCAAGAATCTGGATCTCCTAGGCATTGGGAAGAACCTCAAGGAGGCTCGTGATCAGTTGACATCATACTGGAGAGAATCATCAAGGAGCATGAGCAGGCCAGAAATAAATCTACCTCACAAGATAGTGAGATACAGTGAAGGATATATTAGATGTTCTCCTGAGAATATCAGAAGATGAAAGCTCCGAGGTTAAAATAACCAGATACTATGTGTGTGTTTGGTTTTCAGTTTGACAAAAGTCGGTTTAATGAATGTTCATTTGATAAAAGTCAGTTTGGTGAAAGTCAGTTGCTGTAATAAAATTTATATTTGAATACATTTTTTCAAAAATCAATTTGACAAATTGAAAATTGTTTGGATTAATAAAAATTTATTCTTTTAAAATGTACTTTTTAATATATAATGACCAAAAAGGACATTAAAGAATGATAATTTATAATTTTTATTGTACAAATATAATATATTAGCAATGTTTCAAAAATGTAAAAAAAATTTTAAAATAACATAAAATTTAAAATGTTAAATAATAAGAAAAAATATAAAATTTAATTTTGGATAAATTTATGTAATAAATAGTTAAACATTCATTAATATTGAATAGTTACATGATTAATGGTTCGATCTATAATATATAATTTGATCTCTAATAGAATCTCGAACCCTTTTCATCTCTCTATCAGAAGCTACATTTAAAATTGCACTTGAAATTGTTGATGAAAATACATGCTCATCATTATCATCGTTAGTATTAACCATATTTTCATTCTCAAAATGCCTAAAGTCAGAATCAGTTGCAGATTTTCTTCTAATAAAATTATGTATAGCCATTGTTGCACTAACGATACGAACTTGCGTCACAAATGAATAGCTAGGCATGTGTCATAAGATTGCGAATCTACTTTTTTAAACCCCAAAAGTCCTTTCAATCGTAGTCCTTAAGCTTGAATGATAATAATTGAAAACTTCATTATTATTTGCAAATCCAAATAAACGCCTGAAATTTGGGAGGTGGTATCTATGAGATCTATAAGGACCTAAATATCCACGTGGCGTTGGATAGCCGGTATCTAACAAATAATATTTACCTACCAATAAAAAAATAAAGATTATAAGATCCCAAAAAATATTGAGTAAATTATTTTAAATTAGATAAATATAAAATATACCTTAAGGTGGATGTGAAAATTTCATGTCCAACCTTATGAGTGCATAGTCAAACAAACGAGTGACCATTATATTTTGTGTTGGAATATATTTCCTTCCAATATATTTCCCTTGCTCTTCAACACTAACCACGCACGGGATATGTGTTCTATCAATTGCTCCTATGGCATCTTTAAAGAATGGCCAATATCACGGATCACCTAAAATTTTTAGATGAATATCTTGAAAAGTGTGATTTTTTGGTTGGATATATTCCTTTGCCAGCTTCTCCCAAGCACGCAATACATTTTTGAAATGTCTGTAAACAGTCTCTGCTAAATGTTGAAATTATTCTTGTGCCATCCTATTCCCCACCCCATGTCCAACAATATTTAAGAACATACTGACCATTTCATGAATCCCTATTCTTCTAGTTGGACACAAACCATGTTGCACCAGTTCATCACAAAGTTGAAAAAAAAAAATCTTTTTCCATGCAAAACATGTCATAATAATGCTGAGGATGCCTTTGTAAAATTTCTTGCACCCATGCCTGACCTAATTATGAACTGATTCTACAAGGCTCTTTCAATAAAGTTGTTGAGTAATTAGATATTATTGCAGTAATAGCCTCAATCTCATCATCTTTCACATGTACAACTAATTGTACTAAGCGAGATTGCGTATTATCATCCATGAAAACTGCATAACATAATTAAACAATCATTACACTATTATCCATGACTTAACATAAGAAACACATAACACAACAGTCAAATAACACAGTCAGTTTCAAAACAAAGTTAACAACATAAATGGCACTAGCTAAATTTAAAATATTGAGAAGGCAAGTTAAGATTGATCTAATCTACTTTTTTGCCTAAGCACTTCAAATAGGCCACTAATGCTCTTCTGTTGTCCCTAAACCCAACATACATGTCCCTTGCAGTCTTATCTAACAAAGCCACAGCACACTATCCAAGATGCGCCTCATTACAAGCAATCTCCTAAATTTTATAAAGTTCCTTTGCAACATCTACCACATTTTGATCAACTGGTTTTGTCCCACCCTCTATGAAATTAAGAATTAACTTCAGTGTTGAAACCCTATTCTCTTATGCGGACACTAATCGACTCACTGAATCAACCATCACAGTTGCAAGATGTTTTCCCTTCTTGTTTTGACCACTTTCACCTCTCTTTCTCTTGTTCCTTGAATTAGTACCATCATTGTATGCATTGTTCAAGTTGACCTGCCTAATTTCTGGGAGAGCTCCTCCACTAATATTTCTCACATCATCACTGTCTCCTTATCCTTTGGTCAAATTCAGTTGAGGCCTATACATATCTTGTGGGTCATCAGCCACAGGTGTCCACATATAAGTACCTCATGCTGCAACTGGCTGGAACAACTGTGTTAATTCTTATACATATAGAAGTGGTCTATGTCTGAATTTTCTATACTCAGGATTCTCCTACACATTATAAGAACTGAGTTCAATATATTTACAAAATAAAGCATCAAATATATAGCATGCCGTATATAATTCTATACCTTAATTTTTTGATTCCACCACTCATCCAGTGCTGATACAGTATTCTTTTCGCTATCCCATCCCAAGTTGGTCTCTTTGTTTAGCAATTTGTCCCATATATTCCAGTCTTTTCTCAAATTGTCCCATTTGTTCTTTAACTGCTTCTTATCATAGCTTCTAGAGCTCAAAGTATTGAACTGTTGCATTAACGCTTCCCAACCTTCCTTTGATAAGGTAAAGCTCTTGCACTCATTTTTTCTAACTTGTTGGAGAGCTAATTTGATGAACAGTTCGATCTCTTTGATAGTCCACAATGCCTTCTCCTTACTCATATTTACTATCGAAATATTATATTCTCAATAATTAATTAACATAAATTAGACCTATTTGTCAACCCACATTTGCTAGGAAACAAATCAACTAATAATTAATTAAGTAAAATCATCCAATGTTCATTTATGAAACCATACCAAAACCCATAATTCAACATTAGTTTGAACAAAAGAAAACTTGAAAATACGCACATAAACACACATAAATCTAGAATAATTCACTAGTAATTGAGTATAAAAAAATTTTAAAACACACACATTCTCAGGAAAAGAAATCAAAACCCTGGAATCAGTCATTGATTATAAGAAAATTTACAAACATATACAAAGAGCAGAACTAATTTTGAACTTAAATAATTCAAGATCTGAAAACAGAACTAAGCCACTAATATTCAAATTTCCACCATTTCAGTTCCTATTCATTCAGCATAAGAAAAGTTTAAACCATACACGTAGAGCAGAACTACGTTCAAATTCACAACATTCCGGTTCATTGAGTATGAGAAAAGTTTGAACCAGACCTCTTCTTCAACATTTAGATTCCCAACATCCAGAAGCTCTCAAGTTTTGGATTACCAATTCAAGTGGAAGAAATGGTCAAACAAAGAGTACCTTCAATCAAAAAAAACAGAGCATAAGCGATCTAGAGAAAAAATCAGAGGACCACCAAGCGTCCAAGACTGAAAAGAAGCTCTAACAGTCCAAGCGTCCGAGTATCTGAGTTCAATTCAGGCCTCAAGTGTTTTTACTTCTACAAGCTTCACAATGCCGTCCAAGACTTAAAAGAAGCTCAATCCATGAGCTACAAATGAAAAATGGCGACTGGAATGGTGGGGAAGGACGACAAAATGAGACCATGAGCTCGATGAAGGAAGAAGTCAAATCTGTGACTAGAGATGGCAAGGGAGAGATGGAGGAGAGAAGGATGAGAGTCACTGGAGATATATAGGACAGAGGCAGATTGATGGCGGATGAGAGCAGAGAACAGAGAAGAGAGAACAAAGAAGTCAAATTTGTAACTAGAGATGGCAAGGGAGAGACGGAGGAGAGAATGACGAGAGTCACCGGAGATATGACAAAGGCAGACTGACGGCGGATGAGGTAGACAAGAGCAGAGCACAGAGAAGAGAGAATGAAGAAAGGTGAGTTTTGAAGAACGAAGACCAGTTCGGGCAAGAGGAAAAGATAAATATGAAGCTAGGGGTATCATGGTCATTTTAAATAATAGGTATCACATCTTTCCTCAACTGACTTTTTAAAAGCTCCAAATATCAGTTTCTAATTTTTGTTGTTCAGCCAGGTTCGAAAAGCACATTCAAAAAGTTAATTTTACACCTTAAATAATCTCCAAACACCATTTAATTTTCTCAAAGTAAAAAACAACTTTTTGAATGTGAAAAGCTGGTTTCCCAAATGCACTCAACATCAAAGGCTTTTTGATGGTATGGTATATCTTTTCACTTTATATAGAGACAAACAAACACAGATCCGTACAAAATTAACGTGCCTTGCAATATAATTAACATTGTCGGGATCTATTAACGGGTGGGACGGATACAAGTGCAATTACCACGGAGTGGGCGCTGGCGGAAGTGATAAGCCAGCCAGATGTGATGGAGAAGGCAAGGAAGGATATTGATTCTGTGATTGGGAAAAAGAGACTGGTGAAGGAGCTGGACATCGCAGATCTTCCTTATCTGGAAACGGTGGCGAAGGAGACGCTGAGGCTCCACCCTCCATCTCCGTTGATTATGAGAGAGACAGTTGAAAACTGCAGCATTGGTGGCTATGACATCCCACCAGCATACCGGGGGTGTTGATAAATGTGTGGGCTATTGGAAGGAACCACGAGTACTGGAATAATCCGCTTCAGTTCAGCCCATAAAGGTTTCTGATCAGCAAAGACGGAAGTGGGAAGAAGGGCAATTTGGAAGTGAGGGGACAGAACTACCAATTTTTGCCGTTTGGAAGTGGAGGAAGGGGGTGTGTTGGAGTTTCATTGGCACTACATGTTGCTCAGACCACTCTCGCCGCCATGATTCAGTGCTTTGAATGGAAGGAAGGGGATAATGGGAATGGCTGCGTTGACATGACTTTCGGGCCTGCCATAATTCTTTCAAGAGCTCAGCCCCTTACGCGCGTCCCAATTCCTAGGTTCAATCCCTTTCCTTCTTGTAATTCTCATCTACAGCCAAGAATTAACAGAGCATGAGCGAATAAACTTAAAAAAATAAAACAAGTACCGACGAAGAGGCTAAAACTACCACATATATCGTTAATTAAGAATGCTACACAGATTCTTCTCGTTTGCCAGTGTGTGTGTGTGTGTAACCCTTGTTCTGTCATCTGTGTGACTAGTGTTCATCTGGACCAGTAAGCCATTTGCAATTTTAAACATCATTTTATTGATCCTCTGTATAGCTCTTGGCATTTTGTTCGTTTAAAGGTTTAAGGAAGATTAACCTGACCTCCCCTAACAAAGTTTAAAACGCGGTGTTCTAATTGCCAGCCTCGAATTGCATGGCAAACTCAACCTTATAAGGAGATTGCAGTTCATTCGTGGCAATGCAAGAAAATTGCATTGCAACTAATGGCCGAGAACTAATTAATAAAACCGGTGCTGAAAAGAAATTCAGTGCACTCATCGCTATTGCAGACCATAACACTACCAAAAAAAAAAAAAACAGAGAGAGAGAGAGAGAGAAGTTCTGCTAGTGGTTTTGGAGCTGCTGATCTAGGTTTATTTTGTGGGCTACGTAGTTGATCATCACATTAACGTCTAAATTTTTTTTGCTAAAATGATATAGTTTACTGTGATTATATCGTAGTTTTATGCATTATTTTTGGCACCTGATCCAATTGGCTAGTTTAACTGGAAAATGGACAGCAGGATCTGTTGGAAACTTTATTGAATAAGTCATATTGAGGATCAGGGGGAAAAGTCAAAAATCGGCTATCGATCATTGGTTCCGCCTATTCAAGCTTTTCTTTTTCCAAAAAACCAAAAAAAACTTATTAGTGCAAAATGGCTTTACTAATATAAGGATTTTTTAATTTTTTTCAAATAAATGATAAGCGAAAATTTAACATAAATTTATTATTATATTTTATCCATTTCTTTGGTTATTTTGATATAAATTAGAAGAACAGAATATAAAAATTCTCACTTAAAGAATTTAAGGTGTTTTCAAGAAAATGAAAAAAAAAAAGGGACAAGAGGCTTAAAATAATAAAATCAAGGTCGAGGCCTAACCATCAGGGCTAAAGGTCAATCTTCGCCCATGGACAAGAAAAAACTTAGTCTTCTTCACGCATAGACATGGGAAGGGCGAAGATCTACACTGAGCTAGCCACGTCCGCTCACGGACATGTGAAGAAGCCCACATCTCCATAGGCGTAGGCAACGTAACTGGCACAGAGAAAGCCACCGTCTGGAAGCTCGAATGCGCACGGAACAAGCAAGAGGAAAATTTTCCTAAGCGAGGACATTCAAAGCCTTAATGTTCCACCATGTGTGGTGGTGATGGCTTCTAATATTTTAATAAATTTATTAAAATTTTTAATGAAATTAAAAATTATTTTGTGAAAGTAATTAATAAATATATTGTTAATTGGATAATTATTTGTAAGATAAAAGGTGAATAAAGTTTAAGACATATTGTAAAAGTTATTGGATCAATTGTGGCATTAAATTTGAGTTTTATTCAAATAAAATGGCCCAATTTATGGGCCCAAAATTGGCAATTTTGAAACTCACAACAAATTAAATTCTGTCCAATGATGTTGCAGTATTAAATTTGAATGTCGCGATATCAAATTAATTTCCAGCAAAACGCACAGCTTCACTTAATTTTGGTTTTAAGGGTTTTTAAAGACCATTTTTCATTTCGATTTGTCTTCAACCAACAGCTGCACGTCCAAGGAGCATTCTAAAATGGAGAAAAAGTTGGAGAAGCTTGAGAAACTCTTGGTCTTGCAATTTGTGACAAAAATCATCCCTACTAAACTTTCTTCTTCTTTTTCTCTTTATTTGGATGTATGTTCTATTGAGTTTTGATATTTTCATGGCTATTAGTGGCTAATTTTATTTGACCTAGAGTAATTATAAACTTATTGATAGATTAGAGCTTGTTTTTAATTATTGGTTATGCTTAATATTGATTTTAGTTTCTCAATCTTACATTTAATTGCCTATTTAATGTTTAGCCACTGTTAAATATGAATTAGGGTATTTGGACTTTTTCTTGACAAAAGAAAATCTCATTTGAATCTTTAGATTGAGTAATATAGAATTAGATTATTATCTAATTTGCAATTAGGATAAAAATATATCTAAGTATCCCGTATAATTAAATTAGAGTGAGTTGGAATTGAATTTACCTCTTGAATAATTTTATTAGAAATAACATAATTAATTTAAGAGAGAGTTATTTGATGTTTGAAAGGCCTTTATAGCCACCAATGCTCTAGATTAACAAAATTAGCGTTAAAATTAATTAATTGGCTAAAAGCAAGATTTATGAAGCTAGCAAGGAATTAAAGACTTTCGGTTACCTGAGATATTCGTAGTTGTTAGATTGCGAATCTCATTATATTTTTATTTATTTCAATTTTAAATTTTGGTTAATAAATTTATTTTAATCAATTTTGTTTTACGTGAATAAAAGTAAGAACTTTATTATTTAATGACTATCGTGCTTGATTCCAGATCAATCTCAATGCATTAATATATTACATAGTGACATGCACACTTACGGGGAAACATTTTGTGTGCATCAGGAGGATCTTATGGAGATTACTCTTTCATAGTTTGATTGTGTGCAGACATAGGGAAGAAGGATATGACTGCTCGTGGACGTGAAGAAAAACACGTGGTAGAATTTTAATTGAATTCAAAGGAAAAATTAAACAATATTTTATAAAATAAAATGATATAAGACATAAATTAGAGGCCAAAGAGATGCAAAAAAGTTATAAATAATGCCCTTGTTGATTTCTAAAGGTATCTAAGTTGATATCTGGAACTGGAAAAGCAATTTTGAAGCATTAACTAAGGTTTGAGAAGTGTTATTGAAAATTAAAGAAACAACTGAACGGTTTTTAAATAAATATCATGGAGTTTTCCTATTCTTCTCTATGATTTTTAATCTATGTTAAATTTAAATTATTTTACATATTTAAAGTTATGAGTAGATAGTTTTCATTTGTCTTTAGGGGTTCTTTGAACCTTTAATGTTTGTAGATATATTTCTTTTTGGTTATCAATTTTAATGAATGCTTTAATGCTTAATGTGATTTATTTTTGTCCTCATGATATTGGTGGCCGATTTTAGTGTGTGTTTTTGGATATTGGTTTTTGTCTTTGACAGAAGGGAGTTTCAAATAGATCTTGTATCAAGCAACTTAAGATTGTATTTAATGTAACATGTGCTTCAGATGAATATATATTTAAGAGCCCTAGATAATTTTTTAAGGCTTGTGTACAATTAGATCAAAACTTTCTTAAGACATTATAATATAGTTAGATCATGTGTTTTGTAATCAATGAATACATAATTTAATTTAGATACTTGATTTTAAAGAAAGCACGATAACAAAAAAAAATTACATTGCAAAATTAAAAAGGAGATTTACGTAATATTTCAATTTAAATTTTAATAATTAATTTGAATTAATAAAAATTTTTAAAAAATTTAAAAGTAAGTAAATTAGTAGGAGAAAATTATTATATTTAATTTGAGATATAATTTTAAATTAAAATTTTTAAAAATTATTATTATTATTAGAAAAAAAGAGATAAAAAATGTGAGAGAGAGGTTAATAAAGTAAATAGAAAAAAAAAAAGGGGTGGTGGAGGAAACGGAAAAATATCCGTTGTGTGTGTGAGTAATGAGTATGTAGATATATAAACATATAAAAAAAAAAAAAAGAGGAGAAGGGAGCCACAGACCACAGAGAATAGATATTAATATATATATATATATATATATATATATATAATGAAAGAGGAAAAAGGCTGTGAGACCTATACTTTTATTTTTAAAAAATATCACCCACCCGTTTCCTTTTTTACAGTCCCTTCCAGTTTCCATTCTCGTTCTTCACGAACAGAGAACAGCGCAAAAGATAAACAGAGTGCACGAGAGACCGAGGGCAATCTGATTCGGACCAGAGAAGCCTCCTCTGTCCTTTAAAGTAAGGCTTAATCTAAATCGTTTAAATTTAATTTGAATAATTTAAATTTAATATTTTTATTTTTTTATATTTTTATTTATAAAAAATATATAAAAAAATTTTATAAATATACTTATCAATCTGACAGTCTAAATTTAATATAAATAATTTAAAATTAATATTATATTTTTTAATAAATTTACTGTTCTGTTCAGAATATACTTATACTGTCTAAAATAAATTTAAAAAGTTAATATAAATTTTTTATATTAAATTTGGATCATTTATACTAAATCTAGACTGTCAAATTGATAAGTATATTTATTAATTTTTTTTATAGTTTTTATATATTTTTTATTTTAAAAATATAAATAAAAAATAGAACTATTAAATCTGGATAGTCCAAATTTTCCTCTGCATTAAAGGAGAGGCAAAGGAAGCTTCTTTCAAAAGAGAGAGACTGACTCCCTCTGATTCAAGCTTCATAATAGAATATTTTAGGTGAGGTTTTAAGCTTTTTAAAATTATGTAAGTGTTTTAAAAAAATTTCTTAGTGATCCAGCTCCTTTAGTTTCTAATTTTGTAATGGTAAAAAATTTAGGATTTAAAAAATAAATGAATTTATGATAAATAAATATGATTGTAGATGTTGTTAATAATATAATAAATCTTTTAAAGTATTAAATTGTTAATGTGATTTAAATTTGAGAGTTATGAGTTAAACCTTAGACTTTCATGAGTGGATTTTTGTTAAATCTAACAATATACGTTGATTTAGAGATTTAGATAATTATTTAAAATGAGAAATAAATTATTATGGTTATAGAATTATGATTCTAGGCTTAAGATTAAATTTAAATTTTTTAGCTATCTTTATGTGCAAATTTATAAAATAAAGAGAAAAATTTTGATAATAGAAATTAATTTAGAAGTTAATTTTAATTTATTAGTGTTTATTGATGACTAAAGAGAGTTAGGAAATTTTCTTGAGGGTACTAACTTTACATTTGTATAAATAATGAGATCAGTAATTATGTTATATTTCTAATTCTATTATTAGATTTATTTTATTAGTTTTAATAATTAAAACTAATATTTATAAATAATATATTATTTGAGAATTATATTGTTGGTGAAGATTGTGGTGAAGAAAAATTATAAATAATAATTTATTAAAAAAGTCAAGAGGTAATCATGCTTTAATTTGTGATTAATGTTACCTATTGTTATTTGTGTGATTATTTGAGAAAATATGTTGAAATGTTTGTTGAGAAATTTTGTGGATGTGTTTATTAAAAAATTTAAATATGTATTTTGAAATATTTTTATCAAGTGGGATGCTATATTATAATGTTGTTGGAAATAAAAAAAATTATAAAATTGTCATATTGTACATTTGTGCATTATTGATCTTTAAATTTTATTGACTATTTGTGGGAGGTATTGTAAAATTTGTTATTATATTTTTGTGCTATGCGGTACGTTTTTATTAGAGGCCCAATAAGTGGTTTGTAAGGACTTGAGTTAATGTAGCTTTGGCCAAGTAATCTTGCATCGAGTGAGGGTTACGGCTCGAGATTAATGTAAAGAGATAAAAATGGTTATTTGTCATGCATACAGTATCTCTTGTATTTTTATTTGAATTATATAATTATTGTTTTTCTATTTAGCAAGCACACATATAACTGTTTGCATACATTATCATAAGTTGACATTAGTTATTGAGACTTTTAAATCTTTTTATACAATTAACATTTTTCAGGAAAGGAGTCAAGTTTGGGTCATAGAGGAGCCCTTAAGGCTTAGAGGTGTGGATCCACTACCTCTCTCAATCTCTTGGATTTTTGATTTATAATTTTAATGATGTTATATTGCCAATGCTTGTGTTTTTTATTTATTGATAATTGTAAGAATGTAATAATTATGAAGCCTCATGTTTGGCTTGTTTTGAAAATTAAATGAATTATTTATTTTAATTATTGGTTTATGGTTTGCACTTGTTGGAAGCATATATAAGGTTGGAAAAATATGTTTTGGCTTAATAGTATGTGGGAGGTTAAAGTTTATTTGTAATATTGTGTTGTGCAAACCCAAACCAAATATTAGACATTTCTTCATTAACTTCATTGATATAAATTGTGTTGGGTGGCTGTAACTCAATTATAAAAAAATATTTTTATGTTATTGAAAAGTTTGCTAGGTGATTATAATATTTTTAAATGTATATGTACTTCTAATTTTTCATTCCATTTTATTGTATTTTAATTTTTTAAATGGAATCATATGCACATTTCACACTTAATGTCATTTAATGTTTGGAGTCCAAAATTTTATAAATGACAGTTTAAAGTGTTTAATTATATTTACTACAATAGTATTTATTTATTTAGTTTAATTCCTTCTATCATGGTAAAACCTTTGTTATTGAGGTAGTTATTTTAAAAGATAAAATATTTTATAAAATTATGGTTTATCCTTTTCCACTCTGGTATTTCAAGTTAAATAATTGTTTTTTAAAAAAAATTACTTTGTTTCTCATGGTAGATACTTTTTTATCATGATTGGGATAATTGTTTGGGAAATTTTTTTTAGGGTGTTGCAATTTGAATTCCTAAGGTACTCCTTAATTGTTAATCTTAACTTAGATTTATTTTCTGGTTTTAATTTCATTTCACTCGTATTTTTAGTTTAATAAGAAAATCTGCTTTTGGTTGGATAATTCTATTGAAATGAAAATAATTTTCGTTTGTGCCAATTTCTTTAAATTAGCTTTTTGTGATGTTAAATCTGTACACTTGTGGTATATTTTAAAATTTTGTACGCATCAATAATCCAATGATATGTTTGAATTGATGGAAATTTGTATTTAGACTATATCTCTCATTTGAATGCACACGAATTTATGAATTAAAATTAATTTAAATTTATTTTTTATTTATAATTTTTTTATAATTTTAAATTTTCTTTATATCATAATCACTTAAAATTTTAATTAACTTCAAGTATCTCGTTCTCTTCTTATTTATATTATTAATACTTTTATGATTTGTATTTTTTTTCATATCTCATTTTTATTTTTTATCAATTAGAAAATAAAAATAAATTTATCATTTTAAATTCTCAGTTTTTATTTCGAATATTAGCTCACCCTCTTTACTGGAAATGTTCTAAATCAGCTAAACAAAAAAAAAATTAAATATATAAATTTAAAATATGAAATTTAAAATGTGAAATTTTAAACTTAAAATTTAAATTCAAATCTATCAATCCTAACGCTACCTAATATCATACAAGTATTATTCACGTACATGATTATTAATAATTATGAATCTACTAATTGCCCAAGCACGATCAATTTGATGAACGACTACTAGTTCGATTTTAACGACAAATCAAATCGGGTGTTTTCATTAACATCCTTGTCGCCGTAACTTTAACTAATAGGGGTAGGCCATGTGAAAAATTTGGTGAACAATGTGGAGTGTGGACAAACCATTTCTTGCTCGTATAAAGCACGACTCATGGCTACCTCCCATTGATTAATTAATTCCTCTGTATTGACAAATGTGGCGCGTTTTCCTTTGTGGGCTCCCTAATCCCAATCCCCCATTCAACTTTAATCCGCGAAATTCTCTGCAAGCTAAGATTAAAACGGCACGGGACGGTAACATCTTCATTGTCATTTGACCAAAATGGATACACTGTTTACCCTTGAAAAACAAGAGTTTTCATTTATTCGCACCATTACCGATCCCTACTAATTAAATGATAAGATAAAACATTATCGGAGGTTGGAATAAATTAATATTTTAACGCCAATTAATAAGCATTAGCTGAAAGGTCAAACCATTGTTACCCTTTTTTATAACCCAACACGGCACTCTCAATCTGGAAAACGCCATCGACGTTTTTCTCTCATGGCTTCGCTCCAAGTCTGCGTCCAACTTATCCTGATGTGGCTAGTCTCCACCGTTCTGATTCGAGCCCTGCTCGCCAGATATCTCACCAAGACTCGTCTTCCACCAGGCCCGCCCTCGCTCCCTCTCATCGGACACTTCCACCTTCTTCTACCTTTACCGCATCGAGCTCTTCATCGCCTCTCCGCCCGTTATGGACCCCTCATCCATCTCTTCCTCGGCTCCGTCCCCTGTGTTGTTGCTTCCACTCCTGAAATGGCCAAACACTTCCTTAAAACCCATGAATCTTATTTCTCCAACAGGATCGTAAATACTGCCGTCCACCACTTATCATATGGATCCAAAGGCTTCCTGTTTGCAGCTTACGGACCCTACTGGAAGTTCGTGAAGAAGCTATGCATGTCCCAGCTTCTCGGTGGCCGCACCCTCGAAATCCTCCTTCCGGTGAGGCAGGCGGAGACCATGAGGTTTCTCGGAGTATTGCTCAGAAAAGGGTTGGCTGGTGAGGCCGTTGATGTTGGTCACGAGCTCATGACATTAGCCAATAGTATCATATCAAGAATGATCATGAGTAGATGTTCTTCTGGAAACGATGGTGAAGCCAGGGAAATTAGGAAGTTGGTGACGGACACGGTTGAGCTCGCCGGGGAGTTCAATCTATCTGATTTTATTTGGTTGTTTAAGACCCTCAACTTGCAGGGTCGACTGAACAAAAGGCTGAAAGAAGTCCGAGACAGGTTTGACTCGTTGATGGAGGAGGTGATAAAGGAGCATGAAGACGAAAGGAGGAAAAGGAAGGAGCTTCATGAAGATGGTCAAATAAGGGATTTGCTTGATATTTTACTGGACATACATGAAGATGAGGCTTCTGAGATAGAACTTTCCATGGAGAACATCAAGGCTTTCGTCTTGGTCAGTAAGTTCAGTTTTAAGCCTGGTTTGGATGGATAGCAAAGTGAATAAGAAAATAAGGGAAGAGAATTAAGAGAAGAAAATCTTAAAAATAGTAAATTTCTTTGTTGTTTTTAAATATTTTCTCTCATAAATTCCTTTCCTTTTTATTATTCTCTCCATCCAAATGAAGGGTAGTAGCTCCAATTCCCCTTTTTCTTCACCATCTTTGATATCTCTTTATATTTAGGGAGAATGACATATTATATTCTAAAAAAATGAACTAATGATACTTAGGCTCTTAATTTTTTTAAACAATAAATCATAAATATCGGCTCAACATATTTGTAAATATGAATTCTAATTATATAAATTGGAAGCTACCTTTTAAACTTAAAATGATAAGAATCTTGAATTTGCAAGTATGTATCAATTAATATTTGAAATTCTTCTACTCCCTTGTGTTCAACAAAAAAAAATATTTTAAAAAACATTTAAGAAAAACTTAATTGTTATTACTTCAAATATTTTGGACTTTATTTTCATTCTCTCTTGTATCTCAAGCTATGAATTTCTAAAGCAATCCACGTCACTTTGAATATTTTAAATGTTGTCATAAATAAATATGAGGAGTGGATAGACGTCTATAATTTCACAGCCTTTTAAAATTTTATCTCATATGATTAATGTCATTATATCCTAAAAATAATAGATAGGGATGTATTGTAATATTTTCCCCCGATTGGAAATATGTTGCAATTTGGCTAAGGAGGACCTTGCCCTTTTTTTTTTTTTTTTTGGGCTAACCAGAAATATTGCAAGTTCTAGAAAGGTAATTTTTTAAAGCCCCACGAGTCGCCGACTTCATAATCACACACACGCACACGAACGCGCGTGTAAATATTCATGCGATCTCTTCCAGTTGCGTGAGCTGAGGGTTTTTTTAATTCTAAAACCTCTTTGCTTAATTTAATGGAACAAGCTATCGTATTTGAAACATTTAATTGTTGATATCACCATCACATGCATCATATTCACTATTCAGAATATGACTGCTTCTAATTACGCATATCATTCTTATCCATGTTAAAGTGCTTCGTGCCAAGAAAGAATTGGCAGCGCTTTCAATTTATTATAAATGAAACTAATATATTAAATTAAATATCGTAGGACTTGTTCATGGCTGGAACTGACACATCTGCCCTAACCATGGAATGGGCACTAGCAGAACTCATGAATCACCCTGAGGTGATGGAGAAGGCAAGACAAGAGATCGATTCGGTCGTGGGAACAGCCAGAATAGTAGAGGAATCTGACATAGCCAATCTACCTTATTTGCAGGCCATATTTAAAGAGACTCTAAGAATTCATCCCACAGTACCATTGTTAGGGAGACTATCATCTGAGAGCTGCAATGTTGGTGGCTATGAGATTCCAGCAAAGACGTTGCTGTTTGTTAATTTGTGGTCACTTGGGAGGGACCCAGAGGTTTGGGAGGACCCACTGGAGTTCAGGCCAGAGAGATTTATGGGCATGGAAGCAAGAGGGAAGGAGAATTTGGGTGTTAGAGGACAACACTTTGAGCTGATTCCTTTTGGGAGTGGAAGAAGAAGCTGTCCGGGAGCCTCACTGGCACAACAGGTTGTGAAAACAAACATAGCTGCCATGATTCAGTGTTTTGAGTGGAAGGGGAATGGAGGCAATGGAACTGTTGATATGGAGGAGAAGCCATCTCTGACCCTTCCAAGGGCTCATCCCTTAATATGTGTCCCCGTGCCTCGTGCTAACCTCATTCCTTCTATCATGCAGGTCGTTGGGCAGGCATAGCAAAATAAGAAAAATCAAGGGACATATATATACATGTATTGACTATAATTATATTCAATATTCTCTGTATAATGTTTCAGTCCATTTTATTTTTGGACCCTATTTTAGCCCTTTAGAACGCAACAAATATAAAATTGCTGCAAAATCTGACTTTAAATGTTGGAACTGATTTATTCGGTATCATTTCAAGAAACTATTTGGATAAATATTATTATAACAGGTGATAACAGTTTTCGCCCCCGATAAGTAAGGGTGGGAGTAAGCCAAGTTTTTATCAAGTAGCTTGCAATCTGGGTTGGTTGGAGCCTAATCCAACCTGTTTATAAATAAGCCATATCGAAGATTTGTTTAGAGTCCTATATATTTCAACAGATTAGCCTAAATTTTTAAAGCTGGGCCTATTTAGTATGTTTATATATTTATACATTATATTTGAATTTACATATTTGTAATATATTATATTATATTTAATTAAATAGGTTTTAATGACTAAGCCTATTTAATATCTCAAATATATAGGCTATAAAGGCTACAAAAAGATGTAGCTTTGATAGGCTGGAAGCCTACTCAAATAATTTGAGACTTAAATTTAAAAACTTTTTTAAAAGCCTACATATGAAGTAAATTTTTAAAAAGATTTTAAGTCAGGCTATGCTTATCGCAAACTTAGACTTCAACCTTGAAAAATATCTATATTTAAGTTCAAGCCCAAGTTCAGGCTTGAGGCCTAACTTACATGTTCAGACACGTTTAATCTGAGCCTACCTTAATTTATTCCCACCCTTATGTGTAGGTGTTCGTAAAAAACAATTAATCAGAGGCATGGTGCCGCAAGGTGTGCTAAAGGCGCGGGGTCTCAAGAGGATGGAAGAACCTGACTTCTAATCAAACGCGGGGAACCTGGGCTCCCTTACCACAGTTCACTCGAATGTGAGAATGCGAAGTGAAGAACACTAATGTAAATGTAGAAAAGTAGAGATGCATTAATTAAAGAAAAAGGATGGCGGGCTATGCCGGCTGTACAACGAAAAATAAAAACTAAAGCTACATGATAAAAAGAAAAATAAAGTAACAAATGCAGAGTCTGAGATTGGTAATTTGTTGATGCTGATGATGATCTGATGATACCATTATTGAGAGAGAGCTCCTCTATTTATAGATGATCCTGGCTTGGTGCCCAAGCCCCATAATTGCCACTTTCCTTGAATTTAGGAAGAATTTCCTCCATCATGTTCACTCATTATGGGTGATGGTCTTGACTTAATGACTAAGACTTCATAAATATTTTTTTATATAATTATTTTAAAGCCAATTAAGTTGAGTTGGGTTTGGGCCTCTAAATTTACAATTTGGGTGCAAACAATGCCCCCACATACAAATTGGCTGGAGCCTTTGTAGGCCAATTTTGTATGGATATGTCTTAGAGGATCGGCTCATTCTCGTTTTGATTGATAGTTGATTTGGTACTTTTCTTGAAGGACCATGTGGTCTAGCTTAGAATCAAGTTTCTCAAGGTTTAGGACCTTAAGAGCTAGTTTTGGAATTGGCCCTTTGAGTTTTTAAGGATTGGTTCTGTAAGATCTAGCTATTATGGGGCCCCTGTGGAGAGAACCCTTTAAGAGAGAACTCTCGTAAAAAGGACATTTACAAAACTTGCCTTTCTGATTTTTAACTCCCGTGGTGCCAGCCCTTATGGCTGTGGTCCCTGTAGTACTGCTGTCCCTGATGGCTCTAGCCCTTATGACTGCGGCCCCTCTAGTGCTGGCTGTAACACACTAAATTTTTTTTTAAATAATTTAACTCAACCATAGTTGGGTTACAGCCACCCAATACATTTTTATATCAATAATTTTGATATAAAATATTTTATAATTGGCTTCAACTCACACACTATAACATTTCAGATAAATTTTTACCTCCCACATGCCATTAGGCTAAATCACATTTGTCCATCCTTATACTCCCAACAAGTAAATTAAATTATATTTATCCATCCTTATACTCCCAACAAATAAAATAAGCAATTTAGTCAATTTTCAACACAAGCCAGTTATTTGGCCTTATAATCATGCCATTTTAACCAATCCAAAGTAAACCAAATATTAAAATTACAGTCATACAAATTGTACCAAAAATAGAAATAGTTTGAAAGACATGATTACATTTATATATTCATATAATTGACAATAAACAAAAAGCCCTAATATTAACAATATAACACATTATAAATCATAAATTAAATACCCAAAAGAGACAGTGGATCTATACCACTAAGCCTCTGGGACTCCTCCACGTGTCACCCGTGGCTCTTCTCCTGAAAATTGTTAACCACATAATGAGACTCAAAAGTCCCAGTAACCAAAGCCAATTTATGATAGTGTATACAAACAGTTAAGTGTGTGCTTACTAAGTGAGAATTAAAAATAATATAATTCCAACAAATATATGAAATATTACAATACACACAAATAACCATCCTTATATCCCTCCATTAACCTCGAGCCGTAGCCCTCACTCGGTGCTAAATTACCCGGCCAAAGGTAGATTAGCCCGAGCCCTTACAAGCCACCTATTGAGCTCCAATAGGGGCGTACCACGTGGCACATAAATATAACAACAATAACAAGTCTCCCAACACCTCCCACAATAATCAAATAAATTCATAATAATATTGCACAATTATATAATATTACAAAATTTATAATTTTCTCAATAATCACCCAATTAACATGAAGTAACACAAATCACAAATTAAAAGCATGGTTACCTTGTGGCTTTTTCAATAAATTATTCTTTAAAATTTCTCTCTCACCACAATCTTCACCAGTAATACAATCTACAAATAACATATTATTTATAAATATTAGTTTCAATTTTTGAAACTAATAAAATAATTCTAATAATAGAATTAAAAATATAACATAATTCCTAATCTCAATCTTAATACAAATCTATAGTTAATACTATTAAGTATAATTTTTAACTCCTCTTTTAATTATCAATAAACATTAATAATCTAAAAATCAACTTCTAAACTAATTTCTATTATCAAAATTTTCTTTTTATTTCATAAATTCGTACCTAAAATACTCAAAAATTAAAAATTGAGTTTCTAGCTTAGAATCATAATCCTATAACCATAATAATTCATTTCTCATCCCAAATAATCATCTAAACCTCAATAAATCAACATATATTTTCAGATCTAGTTTAGAATTTAATCCATAAGCCATAAATTCAAAGATCATTAACAAATTTATACTCTATAACATTTATTATACTACTGACAACCTCAAAAATTATATTTATTCAACATAAATTCATCCCTCTTCCAGATCTTAAATTTTTTACCACTACAAACTCAGAAACCAAAGAAGAAGGATGACTAAGAAAAATTTTTAGAACACTTACTTAGTCTTGAAAAGCTTAAAATCACACCCTAAATATCCTATTAAAAACTCTTACCTTAAAAATTTAGATATTTTGCATCGACGACTTGCTTCTCTCTGCCTCAGCTCGCGCGCAGGAAAAGAAGGAATGAAGAAATGAAGGAACAGGTGAGTTTTTATAAAAATTCAGTGGGTCCCACATATTTTTTTTATTCTTTTCTCTCTCTTCTTTCTCTCTTTCTTTATTATTATTATTTTACTATTGTTACTATTGAGGTGGCCGCACTTTTTCTTCCTTCTTCTTCTTCTTCTTGTTTTTTTTTTTTGCAAACCTTTTTCTTTCTTTTCTTTTTTTTTTATTATAATAATAATTTAATAATATTTTTTTTTAATTTTTTAAATTATTTTTTTAAATTTTTTTTTAAATTTTTTTAAGAATTATATCCTAAGTTAGATTTAATAATCACCTCTTACTAATTTTCTTACCTCTAAATATTATTTTTTTAATCCAAATTAACTATTAAAATTTAAATTGGGATGTTACACTGGCCCCAATGGCTTCGACTCTAATGGTACTAGCCCTGATAATTTCGACCCTTTTGGCTCCAGCCTCTCAATGCTGGCCCCAATGGCTTCAACTTCGATGGTACTGGGCCCGATGACTTCGACCCTTATAGCTCCAGCCTCTTTGGTGCTAGCCTCGATGACTTCGGTCCTTATGGCTTTGGCCCCTCTGGTGCTGGCCCTAATGACCTCGGCCTCTATGGTGCTGACTTTAATGACTTTGGCCCTTGTGGGTCCGGCTCGTCTGGTGCTAGCCCCAATGACTTCAGGCTAGATGGTGCTAGCCCTAATGACTTCGACCCTTTTGGTGTTGGCCCTGATGGCTTTGGCCCTTGTGGCCAAACGGGCCTGCTATTGAATTAGACTTGCCATTTATCTTTTGAAGGATGTTATAGCGGTTCTCGTCATTGATCTTTTGGTCGAAGGTTACTCTAGGAGATTGCCCCCTGAGTCCATCTATTCTCTGAAGGTGTGAGCTAATCGGAGCTTGCTCCTACAACGATCTAGACAGCATAACAGAGATGTTCCTTAGCCCCTTCTTTAGAGTTTGCAACAGAGCTCTTGCCTCTCGTTAGCTCGTACTTCACGTTCTGTGTGTGCAGCCACGTTCTCTGAGTCGTAAGACTCAAGTCTATTCTTTCCAACAATATATTAATCTTTATGTGTCCTAAGCATTTCTTTCACATGAGTCCCACCAAACGTGCCAAAAATTGTTCGTAAAAAACAATCAATCAAAGGCGTGGTCCAACCAGGCGTACCACAAATTGTTCGTGGTTGAACAATAAATGCCAGGCGTGCTAGAGACGCTAAGTCTCAATAGATAATGAAAAGGGCCCCGAGTTTCTTTACCATAGTTCGCTTAGATGTAAAAAAATAGAAAGCTTTGGTAGAATAAGTGTGTAATTTGATTGAAGTGAAAAAATTATAAACTAAAACTAAGAACTGAAAAAAGGACTAATGGATGTAAAGTATGCGAGTCTTGATCGAGTGTTGACTGGATTTCTCTATTTTTCTTCTTTCTATTTATAGTGTTCGATAGTAAAAGCCTTTTCTTTGAGATTTGGCACGTTCTACCGAAGAATTAGGAATCTCGCGAAACTTATGGCACGATTTCTCCATTTTGATAAGCAGCTCATTTCACCAAACTACTTGGGCGTAGGTTTCGGCATTACTTAGAATCGTGTTTTCGTGCTAACGGTCTGATATTTGAAGTTGACGGGATTTTGGCATGTTTATTTGTTGTGAACTTTATTGAGCTTCGAGGCCAGCCTCTTTTGTTTATATTAGGCCTGATGTTTCGATTACTCAGTCCAACTAACTTCGTGACCTATTTAAGTGACGTTTCATATTTAACTCAAACAGTAGGCAAATAAGAATGGTTCTTATAATGTGCGTGGACAAGGCAAAGGGATGAAAGAATCGTAATTGTTCCAAAAAAAAAAAGACCACTGATACCATAAATGACCTACTCCCTCTAGATCAAAATATTGGATATTGATAATTAATTCACCACGTTCAAAAAAAATATTAGTTAAAGTCTTAATTAAAAAATAATATTCTTATTAAATATCTTATATAAAAGCCTTGATAATAGTAATTGAAATTTCAATACATTATTTTTTTAAAGAAGTAATAAATAAATTAGGGGTATAGTTAAAAAAATAATTATAAAAGTTACTCAATACCCTGTATTTTGGATTTAGTAAGGCTTACTCCCTTTGTCTTTATATATAAAAAGTCTTACGGAATTTTTTTTGGTCCCTAAATATAAAGGATTGTTAGCATTTTTTTTTAATGAATGAACCATTATATCCTTATTAAATTGAAAAGAGAAAATAAATATTCTCACTAATGTACTTTGAAAAAAGAGATTTATTTTTTATTTATAATAATTAGGAGTAAAATTAAAATATTGTTGTACTTTTAATTAGACAATCAATTTTTATTAATTTACATGATTCAATTAAAAATATCTTATATATAAAGATGGAGAGATGAAGCATAAAAGATATCTTATATTATAGTTATGAGGGAGTATATTTTGGAGCCATACCATTATTGACCTGTATTTTGGGACACACGTGTCTCCTCTATAGTGACCCACAATAGTATGTGGCGCACTTGAATCAGTGACCCGTATAGTGACTGCATTAATGCATTGTGAACTATGATTAATTGTTAGTTATTAATCTTGATTTATTATTATCCGAAATCAGGCTAGACGTTTCAATAAGAAAATTTACTATAATCCCTCATGATTTCTCCTCATAGTTTGGGATTTGATTAGTTAGAGCTTGTATCTCTTGTTTAGTGATTTTATATGAGCATGTTGCTCTTGATTGCATGAATATTGTTTCTCTCTTTACTTCAACAGACTGTGACTTGATTTACTCATCTTGTATTTATTTTTTTTCTCTGATTCTATTTATAAAGTAAAAAAAAATTAATTATATTTATAAATCACGTTATTAAATTTTTATCATAATTTTTTTTTACACTCTATTAAATGTTGGAGAGAGAATATATGTTTTTGAAATATATATATTTAATAAGAATAAAATTGATAACTTATTAAATTTTAAAACAAAATTAATAAATTTTAAGATTTTTTTATATTACTGAAATATATTAAAAGTAATTTATAAATAAAATAAGAGGAGTATGATATAATGAAGTTATGTCAATAATAATAATAATCAACTTTTTAAATAGCCGTCTTCTAAAATGCGTGAGGGCAAAAACCGGAGTGGAGCAGCTGCGGCTTAGAAAGTAGGGGCTTTGGATATGGATACGTTATACTTATCCAGAAGAAGATGAAAACATTACATGAGACCAAACAACAACAACAAAAATCGACCAGCCACCCCAAATTATCTAAGGAATGGGGTATCCCGCTAAAATCATTGGACAATCTATGTTGGTTTTGTCCAATCCTATTAGTTCATTAGACCTCTCCCTTGAATAAAAGATTCCCAAGTGAACTGTGCATTAACAAAAATAAAAAAAAATTCAACTATACCTAGTATTCTAAATTTTTGTGTGTGGGATACAATTTTACTCTTCAACATTTAAAAATAATGTATTGAGCATTTAATCATTAAAAAAAATTAATTTTAACTTTGTTTGATAACAAAAATTAAAAAAAAAACTTAAAAAATTATAGAAAATGACCCATAAAATTGCAAACAAGTACCCTATAATAATATTTTCATTTTATTATTTATATATAATTTAGGAGTCTTGGATGATATTAATTTTCTTATAAAATACTTATGTAATATTTTACCAGTCATTTTTTTTATAATTTAAGGTCATTGTCTACATTTTTTAAGTCAATTAATGGTTAAAATTGATTTTTTAATGGCATGATATTCGATGCATCATTTTCAAATGTTAAATGGCGAAATTGTAACATACACAAGTTTAGTATTAGATACTCTGAGTGAATAGTTGAAGGGCAAAAATTCTATTTAATCTTTTTAAAAAATGGTTAAATATAACAAATTTATCACAATATCATGCTTTCAAGAAATCAAGTATCCAATAAAATGTTACAACAATACTGTTTTGACTACCTTTCATTATAATTAACTGGATTTCTTTTTGAGTTGTGGAATTGCAATTTCCTATGTGATTTTCTTCGACAATATTGAATTACCAACTCTATTGCCAAGCTCAGATAGAGTGAACATTTTATCTAAAAAAATGAAATAGGTAATTAGAGTACTAGAAATGTCCCTTAGAGCATCCTATTTGGGTACATTTGTTGGGATATATGAACTACTAGATGTAATAGGCTTTTCAAGTCTAAAGATATTGTTAGTAACATGTCTCCTTTGAACAATGTTTTAAGAGCTACTATGGATATGATGTTGCTTAACTCTCACTCTCTCAATCTCACTAGAAGGAATATTTCACCTAAATGGGTTCCTCTTGTTAATGGCTTTGTTAAACTTAATATGGATGCTTCTGTACTAATAGGCAAGAGGAGTGTATGTGGGGTAATAATTAGGAATGTTGATGGTAAATGAATTATAGGGTTTTGTGCCCGTTTAAACCCTTCCCCTTCATCATTGAGAAAGGCAAATGGATAATTAAATGGCTGAAAATCTATTAAAATCTCGACTATAAATAAGTTAAAATTGATTGAAATTCTAACTTAATTTTTAGATATTCCATTGTTGATCGTCCTTTTTAAAATGTTATTTTGAAAGTTGGAGAGTTTATTTAGAGAGATTGAATATTTGTTTTTAAGTTTACTTTTATAAATGCTAACGAGGTAGTGAATATTTTAGTTAATTTTTAAACTTTTGATTATCTCTCACCTTATTGTTGTAAATTAGTGAATGATAAAAGGGTGACTAGATTTGTTTGAATCGTGGCTCTGTTTTTAGTGTATTCCCTTGAATGTATTATATCTGCTATTTAGTTATATATAGAGATATGTGCTTGTTTGTGCAAAAAAACTTCATCTAGAAAATGGTCAAATAGCTTACATGCATTGAAGGTTTATAACTTTGACCAGAACATGCTGCTTTGGTAGGAGAAATTTTCTAGCATACAATGACGTGCGTCGTATTTCACAGTGCATCGTCACTTGCCTTGGAGCTTTAACCCCCCCCCCCCCCCTTTTTTTTCCAAAAAAAACTTGGGGTTGCCGATGACTTATTTTTAGTCATTTTAGATAAATTTTAATATTATTATTTTATATATATATATATATATATATAACAGGCTTACTACCGTGGATATATTTTGACAACTAGTCTGATATTCTTTATCTATATAGTCAAAGCATGTTGCATACGCCACCATGACCGGGAGCACATCTATAAATTCACGGATTTATTCTGAACTATTTTAAATTTAATCAGTATAAGAAGTTAAAAAATTTAAATTTAAACAGTACAAACTAAATCTGTATAATCAATTTATAAAAAATTATAAAAAAATTAATAAAAGTTTGACTCATCTGATTAAGTATCAATAATATATGTTAATAATAAATATATTTATTTAAAGTTTTATAAATTTTTATTTTAAAAAATTAAAAAAATAAAAAAGTATTTAAATCTGGACCGTCCAGATAAAAATCTGGACGGTCCAGATTCTTTCAGGAGTGATGAGCACGCGGTGCTCATCACCCCTGATGAGCACCGAATGTGCTCCCCACCATGACCAGGGCGGACTTGGGATGTCTCCACTTCCCAACTCTCCATTTCTTCTCCATTTCTTTAAGACAGCACCGATTTGACTGTGAAAAAATTAAAAAAAATTGAAACCAACTAAACACTCTCACTGAGACCCCAACTTCTCTCCTCCAATCATTTCCTGCACATTGTTTAAAATATTTTAAACATATCATTTATAAAATATTTATTTTTTATATTTATTAAAATTATAAAAAAATTAATAATATATTTTGTTATTAATTTAAACAGTTCAAATTTAATATGAATGGTTTCATTTAATATTAAATTTTTTATAAATTTTATAAATTAATTATTTAAATATATTTTAAATAGCGCAGATTTAATATTAAAATTATAAAAAATTTAAATATTAAATTTGGACCATCAATATGAAATTAAAATTGTCCAAATATTTTATACAGTGTAAAGAAAATGATTGGAGTAGAGAAGTTGGGTCTGGGTGAGGGTGCTTAGTTGGTTTTAATTTTTTTTTATTTTTTTAACAATCAAAACGTTATTTTAAAGAAATGGAGGAGAAATGGAGAGTTAGGAAGTGGAGACACCCCAAGTCCGACCAGGGCCGAGGAGAAATGGAGAGTTAGGAAGTGGAGACACCCAAGTCCGACCAGGGCCGGGGCAGACAAGTTGAGTTAGCCCATCACGAGATATTCTATTTTATTACATACGGCTGGATTGTTCTGTCTCCCTCCCTCGAATTTCTTGCCATTTGCAAACAGTATCATTTCCCCTTTCGTTCACTACAATCTTTCAAGATCTTTAGAATTTTTCAATCCGGGAATTCAAGAATGGTTGATTCCAAACTCCAAGGATATATCCAACTTCTCTTCATTTGGCTTCTGTCCACCTTCCTGGTTCTAACAATACTGAAGACAAAACAGAGGAAGGCTCGTCGTCCACCCAGCCCACTAGCCCTCCCTATCATCGGACACCTTCACCTTCTTTCCCCTCTTCCTCATCGAGATTTTTACAACCTTTCCCTTCGCTATGGTCCTATCATCCACCTTTTCCTCGGCTCTGTTCCTTGCGTGGTCGCCTCCTCTGCTGAAGCTGCCAAAGAATTCCTTAAAACTCACGAACTTTCTTTCTCCAATCGACCAGCTCGAACTGTTGCTGTCCGGCACTTGACCTACGAGTTCCAAGATTTCATGTTTGCCCCTTATGGACCCTATTGGAAGTTCATGAAGAAGCTGTGCATGTCTGAACTTCTAGGCGGGAAGATGCTCGACCAGCTCCTTTTGGTGAGGGAGCAAGAGACGAAGAGATTTCTGAGAACTTTGCTTCAGAAAGGGAAGGTCGGCGGCGAGGCGGTGGATGTTGGAGCAGAGCTCATGGTGCTTTCGAATAACATTGTATCCAGAATGACTGTGAGTAAAACGAGCTCTCAAAATGAAGATGAAGCCGACGTGGTGAGGAAGTTGGTGATCGATGCCGCTGAGCTCTCCGGGAAGTTTAACATATCGGACTTCATCGCGTTCTGCAAGATATTTGATTTGCAGGGATTCAACAAGAGGTTGAAGGAAGTCCGAGAGAGGTTTGATACCATGATGGAAAGAGTAATAGAAGAGCACCAAGAAGAAAGGAGGAGGAGAAAAGACACGGGCATTAGAGGAGATCAGACCATGGATATACTGGACGTTTTGTTAGACATACACGAAGATGAGAACTCGGAGACGAAATTGACAAAAGAGAACATCAAGGCCTTTATCATGGTGAATCAAGTCATTATGTTCTAAATTTTCTATTCATACTACGGCAACAATTAACATGACCGGCTGTAACGATTATGCAGGACATATTTGTGGCAGGGACAGACACATCCTCCATAACCATTGAATGGGCTCTGGCAGAGTTAATCAACCATCCGCGCGTAATGAAGGAAGCAAGACAAGAGATTGATTCAGTAATCGGAAAGACCAGAATAGTAGGGGAGTCCGACATAGTGAAACTCCCTTACCTTCAAGCCATAGTCAAAGAAACGATGAGGATTCACCCTGCGGGCCCATTGATCTTCAGGGAATCGTCAAGAAGCTCTGTAGTGTGTGGATACGAGATTGCAGAGAAGACCCGGTTATTTATAAACGTGTGGGCTATTGGCAGGGATCCCAGTCAGTGGGAGAACCCTCATGAGTTTAGGCCAGAGAGATTTATGAGCGAAGACGGAAAAGGTCAATTAGATGTTAGGGCTCAGCATTTTGAATTGATTCCTTTCGGGAGCGGAAGAAGAGGATGTCCTGGAACGTCACTGGCTCTTCAGGTTGTGCACACCAATCTTGCAGCTATGATTCAGTGCTTCGAATGGAAGGTAAGTGGCGCGATTAGCATGGAGGAAAAAGCCGGGATTACCCTTCCAAGGGCTCACCCCCTTATTTGTGTCCCCGTGCCCAGGCTTGATCCATTTCCTTCTGTATCTTGGTGAGATCAACGTACGGTTCTCTCAAATGGCAGTGATGGAAACCTGTGTTTGAGTTTTAAAATTTGATTTTTCTTGTATAATATTTAGTTTTTTTCATTTTAAATAAGATATTTATAGGGTTTAACAGGGATTAAGATCAGATCTGTGCAAATGAAGTTAAGATTGTTTTCTGGGTTCGGCTTTCTTGAATGATTTAAATGAAGATGACTTTTTTTAGTCCCTCCCTTCAGTTAAATTAGGATGTCTCTTTTTGTGTGCATATGGGTGTTGGGGATGGGATGTGTTTGTGGGAAGTAGAAACGGAATAAATCTGTACCCAATATATACATTTATGAATTTATTGAAATGAATGATACTTATTTTATTAATGAAGGTTGACCATTAATTCATTAAAGAAATAAATACTTAATATCTATATTCAATAATGTTATTTGATTCGAATAAAAAAGTTGGATAGATGCTTGATTTTTTTTTTAAATCTCTATATGTAAATGATATTTATAAATTTTTATTCAAATGCTTTATAGAATTGATACATTTTTCTGCCAACAATAAAGTTCATACGTCGGGTACAACTTTTTACTTTTTGTAATTTTTTTCACTTTTATATATCACACATGATTTATTATTTATCACCTGCATATTATAATATTTTTATTTTATTTATAAATCATTTGTATCAATTTCATTAATAACAATATAATATCAATTTTATTATTATATTAAAATAATAAGATAGTAGAAAGCTTTTTTAATTCGATGTTGTGTAGAATATAATTGAAGTAAGGGGCAGCCCTACGTGATGTCCAGTGTGGGCAAATGTTTCCCCTAAAATGAAAAAAATTACATGAATGTATATAATAAATTTTGCATTCTACCCTCACTCATCTCCAGTTACTATTTCTGAAATATTTGGCATTTATAAAGGATTGAAACTATGCTGATAAAAAAGTTTTAGATTCGTGAAAGTTTTTTGTGATTGTGTGAATGCAATATTTATGATCATAAGGGATGATCATAGTTATCATTCTTTCTAAAATATCATTACCTCCACTGGAAGTCTTCTATGCAGAAATTGGTCTATAAACTTTAATTTTTTTAAGTAGAGCGGATAATAGCATGGCCGACTTTCTTGCTAATTCGGCTCATTATATATTAAATGATCTTAATTTTTTTAATTTACCACCTCTTAGTTAGTCTTTTGGGTGGTCTTTAGGTTTAGTTTTGGTTTGCTTTTTACTTGTGTTTTAGGTGGTTATTCCTTGTGTAACTTTTCACTGTGAATGAGATTTCATGCACTTACTAAAAAAAAAAAAAATCCAAAATCAAACCACTATTAAAACTTTGTATTGAATAAATTACCCCCACAACCCAAGGTCTTAGGTTCGTCACTAACTGAGGTGCCTTTTATTTATAGGTACAAATATATCAATCAAAGTAAATAAAATATATAAAATAATAATAATTAAAAGATATTATAGTAACTAAAAGATATTGAAGAATCTAAAATAATAAACATTCACATAATATCTTAATATTCATAATGCATCCGGTATAAATTTTGAATTTTTGTAATTTTTTTACACTTCTATATATCACACATGATTTATTATTTATAACCTGCTTAATATAATATATTTCTTCTAATCTTATTTATAAATCATTTATATTAATCTTATTAATATTAATATAATAAAAATATAGGTAGTAAAAATAAGTAAACTTCATAATATGACCCCAAATAAAAAATAAAAAATAAATAAATTATGTAATATTTTTTCTCTTACTTGTTAAGAATAATTGAAAATTTTTAATTTAAAATAAAATAATTTTATCAACCAATTTTATATATAAAATGAACCAAATTATATTTTATAAGGTAGCCGTTAAAGAGGGCCAAGGAAATTTGAAGTGAAACACACCATTAGCCGAGAGTCAGATTCATTTAACTGAAAACAGCTTTTCTCTAACATATCGCAGCAGGAAAATAGGAAAATGACAAAGCTACTCCCTATAGGCTATAGCAGTCGATTAATCCCTTGAACAGGTTTCACTTGGTGGCCATTAATTGAAATCCAGGAGGCACCTGCACATTGAATCTGCTCTTATTTAATTAGGCCAGTCAACAGCGATCACTTGCAGAGGGGAAGCGGGGACCCACACAAGCACTTGTTGTGCATGTACGAGTCCTTCCCCATCTTCTGCAAGCTCCCACCTGCAGGAATCGGACCGCAAAGCAAATTATAGCTCACGTCCAACTTCTGAAGTTGCAATGCTTTCAATCCCACAGGTAGTCTCCCGTAGATGCGATTGTGATTCAGATCCAGCCACGTCATGCTCTCCGGGACATTTACTTTGGACAGATCAAACTCGAGTAAGTTTCTGGAGAGGTCAAGCATATGCAACCCCAGTTTGTTTGGCCCAAAGAGCATGGAGGCGTCACCTTGGAGTTTGTTGCCAGACAAGTCAATGCTGGACGAGTTTAACTTCCCCAGCGACGCCGGGATTTTCCCCGACAGCTGGTTGCGCGAGAGGTAAAGGCTCGGAGAATTCTTGAAGTACCCGAAGGTGTAAGGGATGGGACCTGTGAGCTTGTTGCGACTCAAGTCAATTTCGTTGAGGTTATGCAGTTGGGAGAGGGAAGGCGGGATATAGCCTGAAAGCTTGTTGAAGGGAAGGTACAAGCTTTCGAGGTTGGTGAGTCGGGGCAGGAAGTCCGGTACGGGACCGGACACGGAGGTCCAGCTGATGCCTAAGAAGACGAGTCTGGTGAGCTTGGCGATGGCGGGGTGGATGGGGCCGGTGAGGTTGGGGAGCTTGTGGAGGTCGAGGGTGTCCAGATAAGGGAGGTCGCCGATGGCCGGAGGGATTTGAAAGCTGACTCCATCGTTGGCGAGGGAGAGAGAGCGGATGCGGTGGGTGGTGAAGTCGCACTTGACGCAGTACCATTCGCAGCAGTCAGAGTCCGGCGTCCAGGAGGCGAGAAGGTAAGGATTCTTGAGGTCTTTCTTGATTTGAAGAAGGGCTTTCTTGTCTTGTGGATTGCAGCGTGCGGAGAGAGCTGGAGAGGAGAATGGGAGGAGGAGGAGGAGGAGGAGGAGAAATAAAATAGCCATGGCTGGGAACGATGGAGCTGTGGCACTGACTTGCTATGCTTGGCAAGGTCTTTAGTACTATATAATAAAGCAAAGCGGAGGCTTGATAGTTTCAATTTCAATTTGTCATAAATCATAATTCCGAGCTCCTAGCAGATTTCAAAATCAAAATTTGAATTTCAAGTTGGGAAAAATCAGAACAAAGTACGATGATGGGGAAACACGAGGAGCGCATGGTTTCCAACTTGTGTCTGAAAAACTGAAGAGAGTTGGGGATCAACAGAAAGCTTTAAAGTTATGGTCTGAAACGGGAAAAAGCAGGAGATTGCATGCAGGGCCGATTGCGTTGTGTCTGCACGTTACTTTTCAGCTAAGGCGGGATCGAGTTTGGAGATCCAAATTGAAACTTGGCTGAAATTAATCCAGATTTAATGTAATTTCATTTCCATAATTTTAATAAGGGTTAAAGTATAAATATATTTCGGACATTTTTAGGAAGGCATAATTGATACCCTTATTATTTTGACTAAATATGAAACGTCGTTCAAATAGATTACAAGGTTAGTTTGGTTGAGTAATCAAAGCGTTAGGCCTAATGTAAACAAAAAGGGCTGGTCCTAAAACTCAAAAAAGTCCACAACAAGTAAATATGTTGAAATTCCGTCAGCTTCAAATATTAAACCATTGGTATGAAGACACGATCTCAAGTAATGCTGAAATCTACCCCTCAAGTGATTCGATAAAACGGGCTGATTATTAAAATAAAGAGATTGTGCCATAAGTTTTACAGGATTCCTAATTTTTTGACAGAATGTGCTAAATCCTAAGGGGAAGGCTTCTGCTATTCGACACTATAAATAGAAAAAAGCAAAATAGAGAAGGCTAGTCAATACTCAATTAAAACTTGCATATTTTACATTCATTTGCACTTTTTAGTTTTTAATTTTTAATCTGTAATTTTCTACATTTCAATAAAATTATACACTTATTTTACTAAAACTTTCTATTTTTTTACATCTAAGTGACCTGTAGTAAAAAGACTCGAGACTCTTTTTATTATTTATTGAGATTCAATGTCTCTAACATACTTAGTATTTATTGTTTTTCAACCACAAACACTTATATTTTTAAAGGTGTAACGTCGCTCCCGCGTTTTTAAAAATCGAACAATTTTATCCTGCGATTACCAAAGGCGATCCTTGACCATTACCTATCTCAATTTGACCGTGAAAGTGTATGCTGGCATGCCACATATGTTTGATCCCCTTCCATGTATTCTTTTTTCAGCCAATTATTCCACCTTTGAACACGCGTCGCTTCTTCTTCTTCTTCTCTAATCTGCCTCATGCCCAGACTTCCGAGCAAGCTAAAGGTCGTGGGCAAACAAGAAGGAAGGGACTGAGGTTGAAGATGGATGGTTATTAGAGCTTGAGCATTGTACACGGTATGGCAACTCACTCCGATGACCATCGTTTTACCACTTTCGGTCACTGTGAACCGTGATGTGGAGTCACCTTACTGAATGAGTTTTCGAGATCTAAAATATGGAGGTGAGTACGAGGAAGCAGATCAAAGACAAGAAGGAGGAGCTTTGACAGCTTGTTGGTAATCAATACTATGACCTCATCGCTATGCATAGCTTTGTGATTCCATCGCTCTACAACTCCCATATTTCTTCACGTCACTGTCAACTCCAGTTGCTGGTGTGTGAGTTCATTTATGTTTCTGGCTTTTCTTCACATCTAGGTACATGTCTCAAGTGTTTCAAATCCAAGGGAGTACAACTTTACAATTGGGTGGGAGGAAGTAAGTTGCAGAGTGATGATAACAAAGTCCGGGAAGATATCTTGATCTTTTTACTACCTCAGCACTAATTTGTTTTTTCTATGCTAAATTAGTGACACGGAAAGGAAGCTGCTTCGATTATTGTTTGATTTTCTTTTGGTGATTGTAGCCTTTGTGGCCCAAATTATCCATGAGGAAGTGGCTTCATATAAAGAGCTTCACTGCTAAATCTCATTCAGGCTTTAATGAATTGAGTGAAGTAAAGTTAATGGGTTCTTTTCCTCCTAGATTTTGATTCATGTTATCTAAATTACATGTCATGTGCGGCGAAATTAATGACAAGGTCTGGGAAATTATTGAACTCATGGCTTGTTAGTTTGATTCCCAAGCATCATTTGA